GGCTGAGGGACGTGGGGCTGTTCAGTCTGGAGAAGAGAAGACTGAGGGGGATCTCATCAATGCTGATCAGTCCTTCAAGGGAGGGTGCCGGGGGGATGGGAACAGTCTGGTTCCAGTGGTGCCCAGTGACAGGACAAGAGGGAACGGGCACAAAGGTGACCACAGGCAGTTCCATCTCCACCTGAGGAGGGCCTTCTCTGCTGTGAGGGCGGCAGAGCAGTGGCACAGGCTGCCCAGAGAGGTGGGGGGGGCTCCCCCTCTGGAGCCATCCCAAACCCGCCTGGACGCCGTCCTGTGCCACTGCTGGAGGTGCCCCTGCTCTGGCGGGGGGTGGGATGGGGGAGCTCCAGAGGGCCCTTCCCACCCCCACCAGTCTGGGAGTCGGTGAAGGAAGTATCTTTTCTTGGGGCGGGAAGAATCTTTCTCTGTACTTGCAAAGCTCCTGAAGTCTTTGGGTGTAACCATCTCTAAATAACAGATTGTTTGTAAATGGGAGGGTAATGAGAGGGGAGGAGAGGATGTCTCAGCCCCTTTGAAGCGGGTGCTCGGGCAGCAGGGTGGAGCGCGGCCGGGTCAGCCCGGCATTGCTCCTCATGAGGCCCCGGGAGTGGCCCTTCGCACAAACACCCGCAGTATTTGAAAGCAGAGAAGCTGCTGGTGCAATGCTGCCCTAAGACTTCAAAGGACTCGGCAGGAGCAGAACTCACTGAGAAATGACGCGAATCAGGAAGCAAAGAGGGAGTCCCTCAGCTGGGAGGATAGCTGGTTGTTTATTTTACCTAAACCAGAGGCTTTTGCTTTTGTCTTTGCAATGTATTCATTCTGCCTCTGCTCTTTCATGTGTTTGCTAGCCCTGATCTCTGGTTAATTTGCCTCCTGCTCTTGTGTTTTCTCTGTTTTGTTCTTGGAAAAACAAATCAGTAATAATTGACAAAGGTAAATTAGAACTTCCTTCCCCTCCCTATCTTTCTTACTTGCCAGCTAATGTCATCAACTGAAAGTGAATTTGCTAAAAATATGATTTTCCCACAAAATAATCCTTTTACGTGAGAGAAAGCATTTAATCCTGGCGCAGGAGATGGTATATTCACTTCAGCCCTCTGTCTTGGATAAGGGCCGGTTTGTCACTCGGTTGGTCAGAAAGTGGGGCTGCTTCCTTAAAGCAGCCTGAGAACAGGATTCTTTGGTTGATGGGGTTAGTTGTCTTTTTTTTTTTTTTTTCTTTAAAGGAAAAAAAAAAGGTCAATATGAGCAACTGGGGCTGGAGAGAAATGTTGTGGGCAGTAGGTGCATTGGCAGCAGGGAAACGGTGAAGCCCTGTCGGCTGGAGAGAGCCGTTTTGTCATCCAGGAATACATGGCCATAATTCAGAGAGCAGTGCTAAAAAACCCCTTAACTGCCAGGAAGCATTTCTCAAGCGCTAGTCCTGTCGGGCGCTGAGAAATTGAGGCTGGGTTTCAAACTGCTAAAGGAGCCGTCAGACCCACGAGGAGGGAAAAAAATCTGTTGAGCCTTATGGGAAAAATCTTGAATGTTTGGGGTTTTTCCCCCATCAAGCCTGCTGTTTGCCAGCCTGAAAAGCACCGGTGTTACATGCGGGCGGTGATGGGCGATGCTGGGAGAAGAGTAGCTAAGGGTGGGATGTCATCGCTTCAACCTCAACTGACTTTTTTGCGGTCTGAGCCTGACTTTGTCGGGGCAGCCTTGCTATTATAGAAAAACTTAGGAAAAAAAGCCCCTAAACATTCCCTTTCCCTTAACTGTCTCTTTCTAAGCATTCATAACCTTACACTTCTTATGTTAACGTCTGTTTAATTTTTCCCGTAGGTTTTCACACTGGCCGAGAGTCTGGGAGGATATGAAAGCCTAGCAGAGCATCCGTAAGTCATTCTTCGTCTCAAAAGTCTAAAAAAGCTGCGAAGTAACAAAGTTTGCTCTATTTTGTTGAGAGTTCTAAAATTTTCAAGTACACAAAGCTAAAATATTTTGAGTATCATTGAGATTCCGGGATGGTACGTTGTACAGCACAAAACCCAGTGGCTGCTCCAGAAATGGGACTTTAGTGGATGTAGGAACGCAACGATGAAAGAATTTCCAGGTTTCCTTGTTTTAACCCGGAGAATGAGCCGCACTTTGTTGCTGTGATAAGAAACCCGAGCAATCGGGGGTATTTGAATAAGTAGCCTCGGGCAGGTTTGGCCACGCTGTTGAGGATGGAGTTCTGCCCTTCCCCCTGCTCACACAAGAGGGCACGTTCAGGCTGTGACACCAAACTGCGTCTCTCTCCATGCCAGGTGAATTTTCTGGGGATTTTACTAATCCTCAGCTGCCCCAGTCTAGGTTAAACGGCTACAACTGGGATTTCTATGGAATTAGGTTATTTTACTGAAATCCAATTTGCTCTTCAAAAAGATACATGTGACATTATGGCTCAGCTTACATACTAAATCATTTCAGTTGCTTATTTTAGAATAGCAGCAAATCTTAAACCACACAAGGGTTGAAAGGTAATTGCTAACCGGGGGATGTCAGTGCCTGAGCAGCTGGGGGAAACAGCTTCTCACCGATATCCCCCATAGCTGCAGAGAATAAACTCTCGGGTGTAAGTGGTATGCTTTGACAAGTGATCTGAGAAAACAGAGGTTTAAACAAAACCCTGGAGATTTTATACTGGAGATTGTATGCTATAACTGTTTCTCCACGTGCTTAAAGTAAAGCTTTTAGATATCTTTTTAGATTTTTTCTGAAAAATAGTATCTGGAAGGAAGGGGGATAGGAGTTGGGGTTTTTTTTTTCCTCCTTTTTCCTTTCCAGATTGTAAAGTATCCCCTTTTGATTCGTCATTTGTAGCTTAGAAATACTGTATTGAAACGCTGGGAGGTGCAAGTCACTGCCTCTGCAGTCGGCATAATTTACAGTAACTGGCGATAGGATCTCTTTCCATCCGTGGGTTAACCAGCCGGTGGTACACAAAAGGTGTAAAGCCCTTGTGAAATTTCAAGGGATGCTGGCAAGAAACCGATTTGTTTGATCTTTACTGATAAAAGTAAACACTTCTTAGAAAAAAGGCTATTTTTTTTTCCTCCAGGGCCATCATGACTCACGCTTCGGTGCCTAAAGAAGACAGAGAAGCTCTTGGAATCAGTGATACATTAATTCGCCTGTCAGTTGGTTTGGAAGATGAAGAAGATTTACTGGAAGACATCGACCAAGCTCTGAAAGCTGCGGTAAGTGGGTCCTTACCTTAGTGCCTTCACTCTAAAAATAATCTCCCCTTTGGTCCTCTGCCTTTCGCACTACACTGTCTGCTGGCAATTCTTACCCCACTTAATTTTTAAGCTCCTCGTAAGCGTACCTTGCAGAGCGCGTGCAGGGTTGTTGGGTTTCTCTGTGCAGTGAGGATTACAGTCCTTGTCAGTCACCATTTGAATTGGCGAAGGTTCCAGCGCAGCAGACGGGATGTCCCTGGTGTCTGAGCTGAAGTCAGGCTGCGGGGTGACCCTCGGGTAGGCGTCGAAGCGCTGAGTGTGTGCTTCACATCTTACACGTCGTAGTTTTAGAAAGGGTTGAGATATATTAAGGAGCTTCAAGAAAAGAGCTTCTCTAGACAGTCAGGCCAGTATTTCAGTAATGCTCTTTTGTCTATAAGCGCTGCTTCTACTCATCAACCCAAAACTCTGTATTTCAACACGAGCCGGCAATGTGTGCTGGCAGCCCCGCGAGCCCCCCGCACCCCGGGCTGCATCCCCAGCAGCGTGGCCAGCAGGGCGAGGGGGGACTGTGCCCCTCTGCTGCGCTCTGCTCTGCTCTGGGGAGACCCCCCTGCAGTGCTGCCTCCAGCTCGGGGGGTCCCACCAGCAGAAGGAGACGG